TTGCCTTATTTTAACAATAAAAAGTATTTGATTACAGCGATAACAGTTAGAAGGCGAGGAGACCCAAGAAGCCACCAGGCTTATGGGAGAGCCACCTCACTTAGAATAATAAATTAAGTAAAGAAAAAGTGCTGCGAATGTGCGGCTTGGCCAATTCAGTGATTATTTAAGTAAAAACTCTTGCAATTTCGCTTTAAAGCTAAGAAAGTTTGACGAACGAGTGACTGAAATAGGGAGAGAGTTCCAAATTTTAGGACCTTGGTAGAGAATTGTAAACTGCTTGACATTTGTACGGCACAAATGCGTTCGATAATTACTGGCTGTTCTGGTACCATAGTTGTGAATTTGGCTATTCCTTACAAAAAGATCGAGAAGCAATGGGGGCAATAAGTTATTTTTGAAATAAAACATAAATTTAGCGATTTCAAACGTATTGACTTGGAAAATATCTAAAATTCCTAGTTTGGAGAATAAAGGGGCAGAGTGGTCTCGATAGTCTGAGTTGGTGATAGCCCGCACAGCTCGCTTTTGCAAATAATAAATTCTATTTAAGTTAGATACGTATGTGGACGACCAGACGGAGTTACAATAGACGATATAAGGATAAACTAAGGTGTAATACAAAGTGAGCTTGGTTGCAGAGGATAGGGAAAAGCGAGACCTAAATATAATACCTATTGATTTAGCGATTTGTTTACATACATAGCTGATATGGTATTTCCAGGTGAGATGATTGTCAATATAGACCCCAAGGAATTTAGTCACATTAGCTTGTTGTAGGTGTTTACCTCCAAAGGAGAGAGAAATGCTGGAGTTAAATTTCTTCTGTCTGGGTTTAAAAATTATATAGTTGGTTTTCTTTACATTAACTGAAAGCTTGTTACATTTTAGCCAAACGTCAATGTTTTGGAGTTCATCATTAAGTATAGACTCTAAGAAATTTAGATTTGAGTGAGAATAAAAGATACTGGTGTCATCAGCAAAAAGTAGAGGGTCTGATAATTCAGAGGCATTAGGAAGGTCATTAATGTATAGAATAAACAATAGTGGACCTAAAATCGAACGTTGAGGGACACCACACTTTACATATTTTACTGTCACAGTGATAAAGAAAATGGAGATTCCACAAAAATAACCTCGTATAGCTTTTGAAAATTTTTACGAAAATTATAACAGGAGCTATACGCCGTTACAGATTTGTTTTGGACACTTGCTACCTTCCATGCCTCAGAGTTCAGAAAGACCTCGAAAAAATTAGCAATTGACAACATTTGAATGGGGGAAGGAGCAGGAAAGCAGTTCAAGTGGTGTTGCGTCAAGGTTTCACAACCATTCGTATAAGAAAGTGTAGCTTGCACTGTGCTTTTTTTACAAACGAATTTGATATCTAATTTCTGTAGTTTATATCATCCTCAATTCATTCAGTGGTTAACGTAGAATAGTGACATAAGCACATGTCCTTCCTCAGTGGCTCTAAATTATCAAACAGAAGGACGAATGATGCAGATATACAAAGGAAAATTCAAGTCAAATGGAAATTGTGGATATGTCCTAAAGCCTGACATTATGTGTGAAGGTTTGTTAGTATACTTTGAACACCAAATGTTAGTATTCTAATTGGTAAGAGACTTTCTCGTAAATGGTCTTTCTACGGTGTAGTAGGTGAGCAATCGGATGGAAGAAAAGGGTTGCCACTTTTTTGGCTTAGCCTCTTTCAGTAGGGTCTGGGTATGAATGAGTGGTAACGTATTGCAACTGGGCTTAGCGTTCGCCAGGGAGAGAGGGAGACTCTAAAAAAGAAAGACGTGAATACTCGTCGCACCTTCAGGGTAGAAAAAATTGACTTTGTTTTCATACTTAACTAAGGAAACTGTTTTGGCTGCTAAGAAAGGTTCAAGGGGTGCTTACATTTATAACTAAAATGTCATCAATGCGCTTAGCTGCTTTACAGTCGTCATTATTGGTCACCCTATGAGCTTGGTTCAAAATTTCCCTCAAGTATCAGTATCCTCTTCAAATATAAGTCCCTCGGGGTTTCTTGATACTTTTCGAACGAAATTCAAGAGAAAAACGACCAGAATTAAAATAAGTGTTTTCTCTTCCGTTTACAGCTGAACCTAACTTTGATCCGATGACAAGGAAGGATGTAAGAGGAGTCAGGAAAAAGATTTGTAAAATACGGGTATAAAGCCTTCATCATATGTATGAGGTGTATTATATGGGCTTTTTAAGAATGTGACTGAATCTTTGTCGATGTTCACGTAAAACGCTGGGCTCTCCATGAACAAATGATAAATGAAGCAAGTATAACCTGTATGAACAAGACCTAGCCTTTAAGGAGGTTTACACTTAAAAGTTGTACGATCATTAACCGATAGATTTTTATACGAATCCTGTGTAATGTCCTCACTTATGACTGAAAAATGTGAAAATTAATATTTCCGTTTATTAGGCTGTTTTTTCTTGCAGTTTGAATTGTTCTGCTTGTCTTTTCTTGTCTTTACGTGTTTGGTTTTTTTGTCGTATTTGTTGTTGTGGTTTTTTTTTTTTTTTTCTTCTTATTCAATTTTTTTCTCAACATATCGCTTGTATTTCGATAGGTTATAAGTGGCCAACAACTGCCAAAGCCAAAAGACAGCATCTTAGGAGACCGTGGAGAGGTATGCAAAAGATTTCATAAGCAGTTTGTTTGTGTGCAGTTCGTTTTCAGGAAGGAATGAAGTGGGGGAAGGTAAGGAGAGTAAATAGGGACCTTAAGCAGTCAGGACGGCAACGCCAAGGAAGACTCCGATTAAAAAATGAATTTCTACTCTTAGTTAGAATTTCAAACATGGCTGCTGGAGCTTACTGTCTCATAAGGCGCCACAGCTCAACTTCAGCATGACGTATAAAAATAGCGTTGAGTTCCAAATGAAAATTAAATAATTTGCCGTCGCGGTTTCGGTTCGCAGACGACGCAAATTTTGGCGATTTCACGTTATTGTTTTGCATAGGACGGCTAAGAAATGTACAAAGTTTCAAAACGCACGTGCTGAGCTATTGTTCTGCCAATTAGATCTCTTGTTTTTCCACGTCCTCGTTGCCGTCGCCGTCGTGGTTGCTCAAGGTCCCTAATGAAGTGGGGGAAGGTAAGGAGAGTAAATATCCTGTAGGGCTCAGCGGTTTAGACCATGTCGATGACATGGTTTAACTCCTTTTCCCACAATTACCTTTCTTACCGAAAATTCTGACTGCGTGTCTGATTTGCAGCATGTATCTTGCCCTCAAACAGCATCAAATCTGTGTTTAAAATATTCAGCATTTCTTTATTTATTATGAACACCTGCTTCCCTAGTTTAGTTACTAGGAATATTTATTGTTAGCTATATTTCATTATTAAAGCGATCTGGCTCACAAACACATTTGTCGGCCAATATTTTTTTCTTCTTATTGTAGATTGTAATTTCTCGCGAAGAGGTAAAATTGCAAAGTCTATCAAGTTAATGAATGAATCGGTCTAATCAATTATGTTTGATACAGATCATTGACCCTTACGTGGAGATTGAAGTGATAGGTATCCCAGCAGACAACTGTAAGCGGCGCACAAAAACAATCATCGATAATGGTGAGGAAGAATCTAAGATATTGATAGAGTTATTGCAGTCTGTGGCACAGATGCTGCTTATGTCCTTCCGAATACTTGTTTAGATTCTGTAACGAGATCAACGGGACTCGTAGTGAAAAGAATCGTGGCGTGCTGTTATAGGCTGGTGTGGCTAATATTTTACACACTGCTCGGAATTTATTGTGATACATTTGAGCATTTATGGAAACGGGGTTGGTTTTTTAACATGCACAGTGCAGACCGTTAGAAGAAAAAGATAGCTCACGAACCCAACTTCACTTATGACTTCTTGTTAGGACTCTGAGAACAGCTTTTCTATAGTGGAATAAGTACCCGAGGAGGGGGGGGGCATCCAAGAGGAATACTGAGTAGAATTCAAGATAGCTGGATATTGGCCCCATTATTTTTTCGTTATTTAAAGGGAACAAAATAAAAAGAAAAGCAGACTATGCTGCTGAAAAGAAAATTGTTTACCTGATTAAAATTTTCTTGTTTGTGAGAGTCAGCTTGACAAGTGACGTGGCAATGAAGTTGCGTGATGTAAAACTAAAACTTAGTGCACACCTATCATGAAAAAGTTTTTATTGATATGAAATACACGTTTAGTCTTACAAAATTTCTTTTGTAGGGTTCAATCCAGTTTGGGACGAGACTATCACCTTCGTTCTCACTTTCCCTGAACTGTCCAATTTCCGTTTTGTCGTTTGGGACGAAGATCCAATTGGTAGAGATTTTATTGGTCAAGTTAGTTATCCCTTTTCGAGCCTGATGCCAGGTAACTGAATAAGCTTGCATTTATATTCATCTGTTTTTCGAATAAACCATCATGTACATTCATGTTGCTTATGGCAGGGGGATTGCTCATCACGTCTGTGTATTAATTAACTATTGAGTTTTTCAATGTTTGCGGTGAAATTGACCTAAGGAGAAATCAACTGTTGGCCACAGGCGAGACCGGCCTTTTACACAAGAGACAAATCCCTAAATTAGTAGCATCCACCTCCACGCGTCTCTAGTCGATATTCACTTAGAAGCTAGAGTCACTCAAGTGACCTGTCGCTCAAGAAGCTAGAGTCACTCTCGGCTATCGCCTCGAGCGACTCTTACGCTTCTTTCGTGCTTAGCAACCTCCCGCGTGCATCCATAACTCAATAGTGTACGCTGTGGTGTTTACCATTTGTTAAGTGAAGTGATTTAACTGCTTACTTAGGCTACAGACACGTGCATCTTGAAGGGAATCAGCAAGCCTCCATATTTGTTCACGTTACAATTGCTGATTACAACGGAGAAAAGGTGAAATATTTATTCTTCTATTCATGAATCTTGCCTGGAGACTTAGTTGTAATATTGACAGAAAACGCGTAGATTGCTCCTAGTTTAAAGAGTGGTGCTTAGATCCAATGATCTCAAGCCACGAACAGTCAAAAGCTATCCAATTCCTTCCAAAATTATCTTTCGCATGTTCAAAAGTTAGTACTTTAAAGATAATCTCGCGAAGAAATTTTTTTCCCAGTAGCAGTAACTATTACCTCCCTCTTCAACGTCTACAATTTCATTTCAATCTCTTCCGGTTAAAACCTTTCTCTTCCAATTTCTAAATTTCATTTCTCCGCACTGTCTGCTTTTAATGGATTTGTGATAACTGTAGCGTCTTTGAATTGAAACAGTGTAGAGAAGTTCGGTTTGGTCTCTTCTGGTGGTGAAAATCTTAAAATAGCGTTTCTTTGCAGATAATAGATAGCTTGGATGTATTCAATCCAGAGAGAAGGTATTCAGGTGGAGTGAAATTTAAAAGGAGGCAGCGAAGAGACACTACTTTGTTCTAGGGGAAAAAAAAAAACAGAAAGACCAATCACAGAGAAGTACTGGCAAGGAGTTCTTTGCGGTTAAATGCTGGATGCCTTCCTGAGCAGAGATTTGTGAGCTGAATGCTAAGGATAACCCAAACGTTTTTATCACGACCTATTTACGAGCTGTGAATCATAAGAAACTATCAATATCTAAGATTTTGATATGTATGGAATCTGGTGACTAGTAGTCTAGACCGCAATGTTATTAACATGCCCAGAAACAGTTAAAAAACACGTGCTCGAGTGCATGAGAGAACCGCCATGTCGAAACTTGTACTCGCTATGTACTCGTTGTGTTGTTTTACTAAGCGTGGCCGCCCCGTTTTATTCTATCACTGTTGGAAGTTTCTGATTAAGTATTCGCTGATTAAAGTCGATCAATTCAGTCTTGTAATTTACACAATATGTACAACGATGATTTTGTATTTTTTTCGATTAATACCTGTGTAGTTAACAAGAATATATTTCTAATTTACTCCAGGGTAAATATAAGGATTCTAAGAAAAGTGAAGGAAGTCAGAGTTCCCTTTTGCCGTTTACAGTTGCTGTATGCGTCGTACTTAAGCTCTGATGATGTCATCCCTGACGCACTCTCTAAGAGAGTGTATATCTTTATTGCAACCAGCTGCTGCAAACACTGGTAGTCTGTATTTTGTCAACACGATGAATTATTAACTTGATTTCCTGATTGACTTTGATTGACACTAAGTTATGCAATTAAGCCACGTGAATAAGTCTGCTTTCAGATCAGATGTTTTAGATTCGAAGTTACGTTCACGTTTTACTGACCTGTCGCGCTGACCCGTATTCTGTTATACCCTGATCTGTTATATCTGTTGCTGACCTGTATACCGTGAAACAATCCTACTAGACATCGCCAAAAAAGTAAGTTATCAGTGCTTTAATTCTAGCTAATAGTTTGACTCGTGTGTTTATGTATCGATAGATTCTGTTCAGATTCTCAAATGTATTTCATTCTTTTCTCTAGATCGAATAATAATATACTGGAATAAATTATACAATTTGCGTAAGCTAGTTGGATTGCCTGTTTGGTTTATTAGACTAGTCTGTTAAAACATTTGTAAATATGATCTGACCGAGTTTAGATATCAGTGTCGCTGTTCACAAGGGAATCATTTCTCATCACGCAACGCATGAAGCCTTTGTTCATACAACAGAAATGTTGAAATGAAAAATTGTGGCAAAAATTAACTTACAGACGACTCTCTAACTTCAGTTAGCTTCATAAAACCTCAGTCATCTACTTATGATCTAGGAGGTACTCTCTCGCAAATATGTTTCAATGTGTGAAATCAAACTTCAGTGAACATCAAAACATATGCAATACCTTAGTCATTTACGGTTGATCCAGAGGGATCATTTGTAAATCCGCTTCGTAATGTTTGAACAGTAAATTGTCCATCACGAATGTTTCTTCAGCTATATGACCACAATTCGGATTATCACCTTTTTTTGCGCGAACTGTCTTTCGACCATATGGATAGTTTCGTAGTGACCTGCCATCTGTCCTTTCCCACTGTTCTTTTTTCCTCTGATCGCCTAGTCCGATCCATTGTTCAATTCAATATTTGCCAGCAGACTTCTATTCAGAGGTTCTATTTAGACAATCATTTGCGATTTCTAATTCGATGTTCATCAGCTGAATTTCATGGTCTTCCCTCTTTCTGCTTGCACCGCGTGCACTGATTATGAAGCACAAAAAACAAGGCTCGACTGGAAATACAAAGTTTCTTTGTGCTTGAAACGAAGTCTAAACGGGAAAAGCCACACCGTTCAAGATGGACAAAGTAGCGCGCAGCAAAATAAAATATATTTCGGAAAAGAGCGAAGTGAACTTAAGCAAAACAAGGGATGAGTACACGATTAATGAGCTTGACTTTTACCTCGTGAGACAAACTAGTAAACGTTCATTAATCAAGTTCAAGATGGACAAAGTGGCGCTCAGCAAAATAAATTACATTTTGAAAAAGAGCGGAGTGAACTTAAGCAAAACAAGGAATAAATACACGATTAATGAGCCTGACTTTTACATTGTGAGACAAACTAGTAAAAATTCATTAATCAATAAAACCGCGACGAAGAGCAACACTTGCATTAACATTTCCTTTATTCTCGTGACATTAATGTGTGATTCGAGGGTGATATTTTAAGGAGAAATTAGGTGCCAGTCATGCACTCTTCGGTGTTAAAGGGATAATACTCAGATGAAACACATTTTACGAGCTCTTATCGACGGAAGGTAATTGTAATGAGTTCATCTAACGATCATGCTCCCTGAACGTTTTTGATATGCGAAAACGGTTTTCATTTTAACTGTTCGATCGTAAAACCTCAAATACAGTGTGCGCTTTAAGTACACTCTTACGTCATTTCTCACAAATGAAGAAATATTTATCTGAACATTGTCTGTCACGCCACTCTCCACCGACCAAGACAGTACAAGCCAGGATGTCCTGGAACTGATTTGGCTCGTCCTCTTTCCAGTTGGTATACACACCCAGTTCACTTCCATCGGACCACTTCCATTTTTTGTTTGGCTCATCTTCACAAAGGCCGATCCAGTAGGGTTTGTCGGAAGGGTAGTTACCTGGAAGGATGCTATTTACAAAAGCGCTCTCATCATCGGAGGTAATCTTCACCAGCCGTGCACCCAATGAATTACAGAATGCTTCTCCGTCACTCCAAGAGCGTTCTGTTGTGAATATGGCATACCGAAGGTTTCCAAATGGTTTCCAATATAATGGGCATACTAATGTAATAAATACAATAGATGTACTATTAAACTTCTGCTGCAAGAACCAAATAGGTGGTCCATTTGTAAGTGCCTATTCTACTGCGTTTCCCTCGCTAAACTGCAGAAATACTCAAATAAATTTTCAACAGTTATGAAATTTCGCGCATTAATCTTTACATTTTAAAGGGAAATGCTATAAAACTAATCACCTATCTCTAAGAGTCTGGTCGTCTGTGTTACAAGCGCAGTATAGATAGCGTGCCATCAAGCCATAGTATTAAGAGTTTAAACGGAATTCCACATGCCTTGGTGAGGAAAGGAAACCATTTTCATAGACTAGTTCTTTCTTTGTTCCGTTATTGTGATGAATCGAAATGGTTTGTAGTTTTTGAACAAGAATTGTTTGGTAGATCGTATTTTAATTGTTTCCTTGAAAGCAGTGCAAAAATTGCTCAAATTATGTGATCATTTTATTGCTTTTTGCATATAAGGTAACCATAGTAACACGAAAGGATCTAACAAACACCCTTCATATCAGCTTTTGTATGTCTGTCACTCAAACGAGCTCGGTAGACCTCGCTTATAGATTGGGTATCAACCTCATGATTGATCTTTCTGTCAAATTGTAAATAGTCTGTACTGAAGGGAAAAAAGGATCACAGCCACCTTAACTATGGAAGAATTATACTGGCTATCCGGTAAAGATTATCTCTTATTATAGTGAATCTCCAGTAGAGATTCTGCTAACACAAATAAAACTATCAAGATATATCATTTTGGTACTATGTTCAATTGACATTCAACGATTTTTGATATGTAGTAGAAACAATGTGATGTCACAATGTATCGGTACCTTTAGAGCAACCGTAAAGCTCCACTCTCATCGATACCCAATGGTGCCAAACCAGTGGTCGAAAACGGACATAACGTGCCTCAATTGGTGGCTTCAGGTCATGAGCAACAACGCTGTTGGAGTCGTTATTTCCGATGAAAACCTAAATTAGGAAAAAGACAATTAGAAATCTGACTGACCTTCGTTTGATTATAGAATAAAGCGTTTTTCTATTGAATTTCGTAAAAACCAAAGTCAAAGTAATCACAACGGCCAATCAGAAGAAAGGAAAATACCTGTAAGAGCTAATGAGAACTCAAAGTAAAACCAACCAAGAACTGCCTAAAGCGCGGGAAATCGCGAATGACCGAATCATGATTGATATTAGTTTAGCATCTGGATTGGTTTAGATAGAGGCACGAGTATTCTGAACTAACCACAGAGCAAAATAAAGCAAAGCCAAAGCAATCCTGGATAACTTTTTACACTCAATTGAAAATTTCCCCAACAACTAGAATAATAGGCATGAAGCATGCCCTAAAACCCGGCCCATCACACAAGCAACCGAGGAAAATTTGACGTATCAGTTATTTGTCATGCAGTTTGCCGAAAATCGCCATGTCTTTGGAAGCAGAGAAACTGTTAAGGGAACGGTTTCGCTGAGCTATTCCTCAATAAGAATGTCATGGTAACTTCAATAGGTAATGGATTTTATTCACATCTACGTTGTTGGAATCAGAGTTTACAGATATAAAGGAATCATCACTGGTTTATTGTAAATAGCATTATAATAATTACAGGGGTATCTCACAATTTACCATTTTATTTGTCGAACCTCTTTCGCGGTAGTACTGAAAGTTTCGACCTGCATTGGAAACAAACTCCAGGTGGTATTCTCTAACCCATGCCAAATATCGATTCCCTCCTTGTGTGGCTACACGCGTAAGGATAAAGCACTCAGTACCCAGATCGACCTGAAGCCATTGATTAGCATCAGGCAATCTCGCACCCCATGTTCCGCCTTTGTCCCCAGTTGCCTTGAAGTGCAGTCTGCCTTCATTGGCGCTATGGTAGGAGTCATATTCCGAAGACGCGCTAATTTTTGTATCGGATATTTCACCATTTTCCATTCCAAGAGGTCCTTGACAATCTACAGTATCTCACAAAACACGGCTAGTAAGATTTGAATTTTATAGGAATCCTCTCTAGTTTCGAAGCTCTGGATCCTGAATGTAAACCCTCTTCCCCGAATATAAATCTACAGCGATTTTCTATTCTCCTTTATCGTTTTTCGTGTATCAGTTCACCCCCTTATCGTGGTATACAGCAGCATTGGCTACGGTGGCAATCTTCCTTTATTTTTTCAAAAGGTAAAGAGATGCATTTGTTTTTAAGGTGCACTGAAACTTTGAGATTCTATAGCACCTAAGACGTTAGAAATGTATATGCATGAAACAGCGGCCATTTCTCGCGGGTTTTAATCCTAAACCACCTATGTTAGTTGATGAATTTATTCATAAAGAAAGATCTCCCAGGAAAGTATGATCAACCACATAGTGCAGCCAACTGCGATAGGACCTCATGCATTACGGCTGTATAACAGTCTTAGAGAAATACATATGTCGGAAACTATTCCTTTAGATCAATCAGCACATACTATACCAGGGGCGTAGCAAGTGCGGCCGGAGAAATTCGAAGGTAGGGGAAGTCAAGTATTCCCGAGAAAAGTTTGTAAGCCCGGGCTTTGCTGGGTTAAAGGGTACTACGCGCTTGTATACAAATGCACTACCTCGTCTCTATACATCATTTGGACTCGACATCAACTTTAAAGTATTACGAAAGCTTTGAGTTTAAAATGTTTCGAATTGCACCGGGAAACACAAAAGTGTGAAGTCTCCACCATGTTTGCATGATATAATCTAAAAACATAAATCGACCGCGTACAATCACAACTATGATATGAATGAATTTAGTAAGTCATTTAGTAATGTTGATACCTTTGCCACACTGTGCCTCTTTCCTCTCTCGGGGAATACATCTGAAGCCTTTATCAGTGAATCCCGCTTGACATAAGTCACTTTTGCAGGAACAGGGGTTGCTGTGGCATGGATTCTGCATTATAAAGTTCCATCATTGTAGTAAATGGTTATTATTCTCACTTTATTGGACATGGTGCACTTTGCGGGCTCAAATGGAGATTTGTCGGGCAATGATTTTATCTTAGCTCACTCGCACGCTTATGATCACAATTTTTTTTCAGTTCTGTATTTCTCAATGCCGTGATAATAGTAATATAGTTTATGTTCTTGGCCTTAAATATGTTTTGGGCCCTTCTTAGAGCTCAGCTCAAATGACACTGAGTCGGACCCAAAACATATCAATGCGCGAAAACATATATTATTATGTACTTATTGAATAAGTGGGAGGGCTGGAGGGGGAAATCTTTGGCTCGAGGTCATGCTTTCAAGCTTCACAATGGTTTTCTACGGATTGTGCGGGCGGGGCCGGACGGGTCATATGATAAAATATTTTATTAATGGTAGTTACTTGTGCAGGGGTGTACATATTTCGGGGTCAGTTTGTAGTTTCTGGTGTAAATGCAATGTATGTCTTACTATTAACAAAAATAAAAAAAAAATCAAAATCAAAATCAAAATTCCTAAACACAGAGCGGCGAGCACACGTAATGCGAAGTTCTAGGAGGGAATTAATTTCATTGAGGTAAATAGTTTAAAGCGCTGTATTAACTATGCAAAGTATCGTCAAATTACAATATTGAACTGAATTGGTGACCTGACGTTACTACTTCATTAAAAATTCAAGGTGGCCGCTTAAACAACATGTATCAATTCCTCGTACCTCGATACCATAATAAGTGTAGCAGTTATTTTTCAGCAAGGTTGATGATGATAGGCTCTCATCGGTGTTATTATTTAATTGGCAAATTGTACCGCCATCTTCTTGAGGTCCTATGTTGATGGATACACAGTTTGGCTCCAAATAGCACAACACGCGGCAGTTCCCTTCGTCGGCTACTTTTTCCGTTCTTATCGAGTGCCCCTTTAAGACTTTGTTTGGTACTGGTTCCTTGAATACTATAATACGACTGTATTCTTCGGAAACCACTGCAAGGAAGATATAAAAGTAAACCAGTGAGGGTGCAGTTTGTTCTCAAAGAGGAAATGTTGGAATCTTCTCAAAAAATCTTATTCTAGCATACTATTGGAGCGCGCAGGCAAGCTGGATATGGGAACCTACAAAAAGTTTCGTAATTACTTGTCATTGCTTGTCTCAAAACAAAGCTACTTCGGATGACAAAAACTGTA